GCTGATACTGATCGATTTTTTACTGTAATTTTTATTTAATTTATTTGAACAGAACTCTCTATAACATGTATAGGTAATATCGAATCAGATAATCAGTAAGTAGATCCCAAATTACCAAGTTCCACAGAAATAGAACAGGGTAAGGTAACATCAATATAATAAAAAAGTATAATGATATAATTTGTAGTACTTTTCAAGGCGAAGGAAACCATTTCAACAGCTGTCGGACTTAAATCACCTACGCATGTAATATACACACTTATACTATCTCATATGTGTACAGATATATGGTATCAAAAGTCTTAAATTTATTTATTTGTATTATTGCGTACAAGAAAGAGAAAGTTATTTCTACTATTAAATCAATTCTATTTTTATTAAACTTGGAAACGTTGTCTGTTATTATATTATTATTATACATTCCTAAATGATTTTGTGTACAAAACATTTTTGATACAATCAAGTTCATTGAAAATTGGCATAAACTGATGTTAAACTTAAGTTGACGATTTATTTTACTGATGCAAAGCAATTAAATTATTGAGGTATTTAATATAGAGTTGTAACTGTTCTTTGAAAATTCCCCTGTACTTCGTACTTAACAGGTATACAATTTCAATTTAAAGTTTTGCAATTTTTTTTGTCATTATGAACGAATAGTTGCATATCACTGTTCATTTTAATTTGACTTAGCTGTGCATTCAGTGATCTTTTTAAGCCAATTTTCTTTCGTAGTTCATTAACTGTAAGTAAGGCAATTAAATTCTTATACTACAATGCATCTTCATAACTTTGTAGCTGTGTAGGTACGGGAAGATGTTTCATATTCAAATTAATATCTTTTTTTCTATTAAGAAGTTCTTATTGGATTTAACAAGCGCTAGTCGTTTACCTAACTTGGTTTGAATGCCCTAAATTTAATCGTTATTCTCGGAACTGAGGAAAAATAACGATACCATAGCGAATAAATCTGTTTACAATTACTTTAAATCAGATAACTTAATGGAATACACGGTTGAGCGACTTTGCACTTCTTAAGGGTATTTAATTTGATTTGGGAAAGAAAGTTGAAAATATAATGATTTTAAGTACTTATTTGTATTAAAGAAGCGTTACTTTTTCGATTTTGCTATTTTTTACTATTACTATTGCATTAACAAGTTCAAAACGTTACTAATTATAATCAGGATCGATATTCCGCGCCATCTTACGAGTATAAGACCGTAGCATCGTAATGAACTACTTTTTAATTTCAACAGAGGGCGTTTCGTTGTATCTGTAGTTATTTGAATGAAACTTACTCCCGGAACTACCACTATGACAGAAAAAAAACAAAAAAGTTTATTTAAGGTCTGCCACCTTCATAAATAAAAGAACATATTTATACATACACGTCAGTTACAAAAACATTCTACAGAAGAATTTATTCAAATTATTTCGTTGAATCAAGTAGTATATATCTCAATAACAAAACTATTGCGATCTTTAGAGAGAAATGTTTGATATTAGCAGCTGAAATTCATAAATAAAAGCGTCGGTTTTCCGTGAAATAAGGGGAAAAAACGTATTTCAACAAGGAAAAACTGATGAATAAGAAAAAATGACGAAGTAACATGTGACAGTTGCAGCAACTACTCCAACTACATTTCAATTTCTCAATTGAATTATTTAAAAATCGAATGCTTTATGTCCTTTATTAATTTCTTTCACAAATTTCAATGCCTTTCACTTCTCTGACGTGTTTTTGCTAGTTTGATAGTCCTTGTGTTACGTACGGCATTTGACTGCAACAAATGCTCATGATGGCGGACAGAAGCCGCCATATTGCGAGACTTTTGTTAGAAAAACAAAAACGCCTTAATGAAATGAGTTTAGAAATGTCATTATTAAGGATAACATACTATTAATGGAGAAAATATTTTAATATTCACAAAATTGCGGTTTTAAATAAATAACGAACCATTCAATTGTTTACCTACTTTCACTACAATATCAACACATTTTGTCGTCATATTTAAGGGTAAGGTATAATCTAATTGTCTATAAAAATGCTATATTCATCTGTTCTTGTTCACGACAACTTCGATTTGTTCTCTGTCGTGTAAGTAAATAGTTTAAAACGTTTTTGAAGTCCTTAGGGAATTCAACTTGAGAATCTTACGTAATATTATCCTTTTAAGAAATTATTACATAAGTTCATGATTTATTATGATTTGTAAGACTTAGGGGATACATTGAGCAACTGAATTACACAAGTTTGAACGAGTGTATTTATTATTACGTCTATAAACTTTCTAACAAAAGAAAAGTGAGGATAAAATTGCAATTTATTGGCTTTGAATGGACCGTTACAGTTTATTTAGGAGTCTTTCAAAGGTAGATAACTATATAGAAACAATTTTCTTTTTTATCGTTGCCAAGTATATTTAAAAACCCTTTAGTAAATAATACGTTTACGTTTGTCAATTTTAAATCTAATTTTTTAAAATGGTACGTAGCAGCTGTCAGTTTATATGACGCGCGCATGTTTTACTGTTATACTATTCGTCCTAAAGCATTTAGCCAAAAGATTAAGCACTTGAATATTTATTAAAACAGCATCCGATGTTGATTTTATTTGTGTTTACTTATGTTATTTTTAGTATACTAGTCTAAATCCGCGTTTATTACCTTAAAAATTTGTGTTAAAATAATTTATATTAAAAAAGCTCCTCTATTCTAATTATTTATTGTTTGATTGTTTGTGGCATTATCAGAGTAACAAAAACGTAGATTATTTGTTTTTGTTGACAATTTGTACAATACATAGATCATCTAATCATTTATTTATATATTTATTACTTAAATCATGATTGACTTTTAATTGTTCTCATGTATTTTTGGTACGTTACACATATAAAACGAAACCCATTCGGTTCGATGGTTAAAAATATATCAAATTTTCTGTTTGTGCTTCCAGGCAAAAAAATGGAAATCAATTTTAGTGTTCGCCTTTTTCATTAACCTTAAATATTAAAGGTATTGTCCACAATCCAAAAAAAAACAAAACAGAAACTGGAAAAAATCGAGACCTTTAGGGACACTAAAAATCAAATGCGATATCCAATATCCAATACAATCAATAGACCCCTCGGGTAACTTGATTGACCAACTTTCAAAAGGCGATATGACAAACAAAAATATTCTTTTATTATTCGAAAACGCAATATAAAAAATGGAAACAATTGAATTCTACTAACGTATTATGCTGCTTGTCAACTTATTGAGTCAATACGACAAAATTAATTTATATTTCATTTAAAAACTTTGTTAGACATACGCCCGAGGCGACGTAAGAATTGTTTGCTTCTTAGCTCTGCACCCCTAAGAGGCATGAATATTTTAAAACGTTTTACTGGAACAGAACTTAGGATTTAAGAACAAAAATAACGGTTCGGCGAAGTTTCAACTTTCTTTCTAGGTCACGACATTAGTTAGCAGTAGTCCTGTTTTATTAACTTCTATGGTACCTACAGTCACAAAAATACCTTATCTCTTTTAAACGTCTTTTTAAATATTATACCTTAATAATTTGCGATTTTTTTTATTTTATTGCTTCTGCAAAGTGTACTACGGCAACAAATTGCAATAGTTGTGGTTCGTTCTTTGTTTTAGCATCACAGTAGGCAATTTTTAATAACTAATTATAAGTTTTTATGGCTAATGTTTTTAGAATATGTAGCAGCTGTCAAATTTTGCAAATTATAAGGCAAACTGCTGCGGTACTATTCGTCCTAAAAGATTTGTACGACAAATTATTTCTGTTGAAAGAAGAAGTTTATCGAAAATTTAAGCTTTTTAACTTTTAGATAAATATTTAAAAGTTTAGAAACGTTTCGGAAATACTGCAAAACAACTAATACTCTTTGGTTTTAAAAGATAATATGAAAACAATTATATTTTCTGTTGTTATTGAATAGACACCAACTTTCTTTTTATTGAAAAACACTTAATTTCTTCATAATGTACACTGGGTATGCTTTTGTTAATTTTTAGAGCTAATGTTTTTAGAATGACATGTATCAGGTGTAAACTACTGCAGATCATATGACACGCGGTTGTTTTATACTGTTCGTCCTAAAACATTTCGACTTGAATATCAACTAGAATGATATCCATTGTTTCTACATTCATAATTTTTGATATATCACTTATGAGTTCTAAAATATAAAATTAATATTTATAAAAATGAATTTCAGTGAAGCGAGGGCTAACAATGGACACTATAGAGTAATCGTTCGGACATTGCTTTAAGCCTGATAAATTAAATTTTTGATATGCTGGAAATACATTGTTGCTGTATTTCCAAAAGAAATTGTCGTATAGATTATAAACTGTTGATTCATTGTTGGGCCAAGGTAATTCTATATTTGGAATGCTGCATTTCCACGCTTATAAAATTTTGGCAACGGAAATACTTTGTTGGCTTAGCCCTCGAACTATGCAATGAAACTTCACTGAAACATCCTAATAATTTTTCGACTTATTATCAATAAATCTGATTCTGATTCATAACTAATATAATTTTACAACTCTTTAAAAAAATATATCTTTCTGGTATATTTTAAGAAATTGGTGGACCAACAAAAAAAATATTGGTCATTTTCATTTGATCTTTCTGAATAAAAATTGACGCAAATTAGAAGACCAGTTTTAATAAAAAGACTTAGCTGCTATAAGTACTGAATTGAATTGAAGAATATTTTAACTATGACCAGTTGGTCATGGTTCGGTTTAAGTCTAAATTAAAGTTAAATCACAGGATTATAATAAGATCTATTAATATTAAATTAACAAATAATGGCGGGTGATTATTTAAACCAGACTACCGCAAAATTTTGGTAGATACTAAACGACCAACAGGTTGTTGCATTAGGTACAACTTCGGCCAGTTTAACAACAAATTCGTATTAACAATGAGTAGTTAATAACATATAAACAAAGTAAAATCTAAATCTTACCTCTTTATTGAGAAAAAGTTGATTGAAAACAAAGTTTGGGTGGGATATTGTAACAAAGCTCGCGCATTTGTAAGTTTCGTGTAGACGCGCTTGTAAGGGAAGAAGATTTGAGTAGCGAACCGACGTCGTGACTGACGGCGACGCACTAACAGAGCGTCGGGACGCCTAGCGCTTTTAACAACACATCTACGTATCCTACAGGTCTGTCTCTTCAACCACATATACATACATACAATGATAAATATATGTACACATAGTTGTAGGTGGTACGGATACGGATTTCCAATTCGCTTATGTAAACCAAAAAGTTCCCGATTTTAAATTGATGCTTTTTGTAAAGTTCAAATGAAAAAAGTTGAAAGGGAAGAAAGTCCGTAAAGATGGTTTTAAATCCAGAAGGATTTGAAGCTCCTATTTCATTTGATACTCACATACATATATAGTGTAATAAAGTCGCTATTATAGTGCCAAAACTTCTTATGGTTTTGTTACAAGAATCGCGTTTTTAAAATAAAACAAAGGAATAACATTGTTGCATTAAAACAAGGAAAAATTAATCAAAATATTTGGTTCTTGGGATAAAATTTGTAATTAATATTTCTCTAATAGCTTGCCAAAGTTAGTTCCTACCTGGTATTCCACAACGCCACCCAGATCATGGGTTTATTTCAGCGCATTTTTCACAAAAATAATGTCGGAACGTGCTTATTTGACGTCGCACTCGAAAACCGTTTGTACCACGAGATTCTACGTACTTTTTTCCATAATTATCACTTCTTAAATATCGATAAATATCTTCCATCTCTTAATAATTTCATGAGCGCTTTCGTTTTTGAATTATATTATACATTTTTACAAAGATAATATCGAAACGTGCTTATTTGACATCGCACTCGAAAACCGTTGGTACCATGAGATTCTACGTACTTTTCTACATAGTTATCACTTCTTAAAACCCGGTGAATACCTTTCATCTCCTAATAACTATATGAGCGCTTTTTTGTTCAAAGTACTTTATATATCTTAACAAAGATAATGTCGAAACGTACTTATTTGAGAGAGGACTCGAAAAACCATTGGTACGATCAGATTCTACGTACTTTTCTACATAGTTATCACTTCTTAAAACCCGGTGAATACCTTTCATCTCCTAATAACTTTATGAGTGCTTTTTTGTTCGAATTACTTTATATATCTTAACAAAGATAATATCGAAACGTACTTATTTGAGATCGGACTGGAAAACCGTTGGTACCATGAGATTCTACGTACTTTTTTACATAGTTATCACTTCTAAAAACCCGGTAAATACCTTCCATCTCGTTATAATTTTAGGAGCACTTGTTTGTTAAAATTACTTTATATATCTTGACAAAGATAATGTCTTAACGTACTTATCTGAGATCGGACTCAAAAACCGTTGGTACCATAAGATTCTACGTACTTTTCTACATAGTTATCACTTCTCAAAACTGGGTAAATATTTTGCATCACCCAATAACTTTACGAGCGCTTTTTTGTTCAAATTACTTTATATATCTTAACAAAGATAATGTCGGAACGTACTTATTTGAGATCGAACTAGGAAACCGTTGTTACCATGAGATTCTACGTACTTTTCTACATAGTTATTACTTCTTAAAACCTGGTAAGTATCTTCCACCTACTAATAACTTTATGAGCGCTTTTTTGTTCAAAGTACTTTATATATCTTAACAAAGATAATGTCGAAACGTACTTATTTGAGATCGGACTGGAAAATCATTAGTACCATGAGATTCTACGTACTTTTCTACATAGTTTTCACTTCTTAAAATCTGGCAAATACCTCCAATCTTCTAATAACTTTACGAGCGCTTTTTTGTTCAAATTACTTTATATATCTTTACAAAGATAATATCGAAACGTACTTATTTGAGATCGAACTGGAAAATCATTAGTACCATGAGATTCTACGTACTTTTCTACATAGTTTTCACTTCTTAAAATCTGGCAAATACCTCCAATCTTCTAATAACTTTACTAGCGCTTTTTTGTTCAAATTACTTTATATATCTTTACAAAGATAATATCGAAACGTACTTATTTGAGATCGAACTGGAAAATCATTAGTACCATGAGATTCTAAGTACTTTTCTACATAGTTATCACTTCTTAAAATCTGGCAAATACCTCCAATCTTCTAATAACTTTACTAGCGCTTTTTTGTTCAAATTACTTTATATATCTTAACAAAGATAATATCGAAACGTACTTATTTGAGATCGAACTGGAAAATCATTAGTACCATGAGATTCTAAGTACTTTTCTACATAGTTATCACTTCTTAAAATCTGGCAAATACCTCCAATCTTCTAATAACTTTACTAGCGCTTTTTTGTTCAAATTACTTTATATATCTTAACAAAGATAATATCGAAACGTACTTATTTGAGATCGAACTGGAAAATCATTAGTACCATGAGATTCTAAGTACTTTTCTACATAGTTATCACTTCTTAAAATCTGGCAAATACCTCCAATCTTCTAATAACTTTACTAGCGCTTTTTTGTTCAAATTACTTTATATATCTTAACAAAGATAATATCGAAACGTACTTATTTGAGATCGAACTGGAAAATCATTAGTACCATGAGATTCTAAGTACTTTTCTACATAGTTATCACTTCTTAAAATCTGGCAAATACCTCCAATCTTCTAATAACTTTACGAGCGCTTTTTTGTTCAAATTACTTTATATATCTTTACAAAGATAATATCGAAACGTACTTATTTGAGATCGAACTGGAAAATCATTAGTACCATGAGATTCTACGTACTTTTCTACATAGTTTTCACTTCTTAAAACCTGGCAAATACCTCCAATCTTCTAATAACTTTACGAGCGCTTTTTTGTTCAAATTACTTTATATATCTTAACAAAGATAATGTCGAAACTTACTTATTTGAGATCGGACTGGAAAACCGTTGATACCATGAGATTCCACGTACTTTTTTTATTTATCTAGATGAAAAGAATGAACCTACTGTATAGAATCTTTACAATAAGGCTAGACTTTCGTTAGGTTGTCAAGCATTATCTAAGTTATCAGGTTATCATATTCTTAGAAACTTTAAACAAGGCAAGTATGAGAAAATACTTCATTGGTAAATACGTACAGTATGTATTATAATAGTAAAATAATATCCAAAATGCCACTACAAATTGATTACTGTGAACACGTGTTTCGCTTAATTCTTAATAATGTGGGCATTATTAACGTGAAACACATTAAGAAGTGGGTGAAACGCAATTGTAAGTTAATTACTTCGTGAAGTGAAGTATATACATCCAAATAATTTAATGAGTAAGGTAATCATCTTTATTAACATGTTCACTGACACAGAAACCTGAAATCCTACAAAGGTATCTTCGTACAAGGATTTTTTGAATCATTACTCCGTTACTATTATAGGGCGATATTTATAAATGGGAAAGGCCACAGAATGCCACAAAATCAATATCACTTTTCACGGTCGGTTGTTAATCAATTATTCAACTATTCGACTCCTGATAACGTGCCGAGACACGTGACCTTGTTGCTTTTTTATTACAACCACGCGTAATCCAACCCCTTCCGATACGTACGAGCTAGATTACGTACGTCCCTTTCACCTTTCGTAACCTCTACACGCAGATAAAACTAAAAAAAAAAAAAAAGAAGCACGCATTGACTGAGCACGGGGATTACCCTGTTTTACGTCCCCCGCCTCCTGCAGGCCGTCTACTCCATATGGTGCCTAAAAGTTATTTTCTCGATCATTTGTTTCCACATATGATTCTGATCGTGAACAAGAGACGTGAGATGACTCAACAATGAAGATACATTCAATTATTTGCTTTCGTTGCGTTCTTTTACAGGTTCCTGTAATCCAACCATAGTAGATACGAACAATCGCTATGTAGCGGTTACAAGTTGAACTAATGAATTTAAACGTTACTGTAACAATTATTTTTTGTTTCACACTGAAAACTAATATCGTTTGCATGTATTTTCAAATTATGTTACTCATAATGGAAAAATCAAATGGTTGAGTGCTACGTCGACGTTGTTTCTTCTTAATGATTGAAGTGCCAACTTTATGAGCTTTTCATACTTGAAGTATACTTAAAAATTAAAAGGAATACTCACCCCTAATTACCACAAATAATTTTACTTGAGCGGACACGTGTTTCGCCCACTTCATACGTGGGCATTACCAACGCGAGACTGGAAGTGGGCGAAACACGTGTCCGCTCAAGTAAAATTATTTGTGGTAATTAGGGGTGAGTATTCCTTTTAATTTTTAAGTATACTTCAAGTATGAAAAGCTCATAAAGTTGGCACTTCAATCATTAAGAAGAAACAACGTCGACGTAGCACTCAACCATTTGATTTTTCCATTATGAGTAACATAATTTGAAAATACATGCAAACGATATTAGTTTTCAGTGTGAAACAAAAAATAATTGTTACAGTAACGTTTAAATTCATTAGTTCAACTTGTAACCGCTACATAGCGATTGTTCGTATCTACTATGGTTGGATTACAGGAACCTGTAAAAGAACGCAACGAAAGCAAATAATTGAATGTATCTTCATTGTTGAGTCATCTCACGTCTCTTGTTCACGATCAGAATCATATGTGGAAACAAATGATCGAGAAAATAACTTTTAGGCACCATATGGAGTAGACGGCCTGCAGGAGGCGGGGGACGTAAAACAGGGTAATCCCCGTGCTCAGTCAATGCGTGCTTCTTTTTTTTTTTTTTTAGTTTTATCTGCGTGTAGAGGTTACGAAAGGTGAAAGGGACGTACGTAATCTAGCTCGTACGTATCGGAAGGGGTTGGATTACGCGTGGTTGTAATAAAAAAGCAACAAGGTCACGTGTCTCGGCACGTTATCAGGAGTCGAATAGTTGAATAATTGATTAACAACCGACCGTGAAAAGTGATATTGATTTTGTGGCATTCTGTGGCCTTTCCCNAAAAACAAAATAAACTATCTAGTCAATAAGACTAAGAGAACTAGATCCTGTGCGGGTTAATTTACTAAGAGTGCTTCGTTTCTTTTCTGATTTTTTGAAGCGTTTCCAAAGTCCGTACCTGACCTCCCAATCTTCGAAAAATAAGTCGAGCTTCAGCCACTGAACATGATGTTCTGCGTACTCGTAAGTGTTACGTAAAGGGGGGTTCAATTGGGGGGCTTCGGCCGCCCTCTTCTCCATTATTGAGTAAAGATAATCGTAAAAAACCTGAAAATAATTTTCATATTTTTTTATCGTAATAATATTCAAAAGGCAACTTTTTTAGTATTGAAGACGTCTCTGAAAATTGACAAAAAAGTATGGTATTAAAATACATAAAAATAAAAACAAAAACTTTGGCAATAAAGGAAAGAAAAAGTAGGGAAGCGCAGGGTCGAGTTACCTTTAACAGAAAGAAGTCACTTCTATGCTTGCGAACGGTTAATTTAGAAATTCGAAAAAGGTTGTTAAAGGTGTCTGTTTGGAGCACGGCGCTGAACGGGTGCGAAACATGGACAGTGGGCGCGGCGGAAAAGAAAAGGTTAAAAGCGTTCGAAATGTGGTGTTACAGGCGGATGATGAGGATACCGTAGATAGAGAAAGTTAGAAATCAAGCGGTATTAGAATGTATAGGAGAACAGAGGAGTCCATGGAAGTCAATAAGAAATAGGCGAGATAGGATGGTAGGATACGTTGTCAAGCATAAAGGTCTAGTTAGAGACATATTATAGGTAGAAACGGAAGTTAGGAGGGATGGAGGTAGACCTAGATTAGATTACTTTTTGCAAATAGTTAAGGATGCGGGCTGTTCTAGTTTTAGGGAAATGCGAAGATTAGCTGAGGATAGAAAAGAGTGGAGGTGCGTGTCCAACCAGTCTTAGTCAAAAATGTTCAGAAATCGAAAGATACTTTTCAAGTTTAAAAAGAATCAAGACCTTCCTTCCTAATGTTGTAAGAGCGTATCACAATTGAATCAATACTTTCCAATCAAAAATATTGACTGCAGCAAGCTATTCAATGTAGGATAATTTCGTATCTGAAGATGACACCTGAAACACGTTTTAGGTGTTTTTTAAGGATTTTGTTTGGAATTTTGGATTTTATTGCATTTTTAGATAATTTTTCAGTAGGTTTTCGTAATTTCTACGATTTGATTGACAGTTTTTATAGTGGACTCTAATCCTTTCGACTGTGTGCAACAGTGACAAAATTATCAAAATTTTCTGTCACCTTCACTCCACTGTCTTGCAAAGTACCACGACGATTTGAAACACTAATAATGACCTTATTCTGATTTAAGTCGATTGAAATTAACGACCTGTTCGACCTAGCCAAGGAACATGGTTGCTACCTATACCACCGTGCCAGTTTCTTTTTTCCGTAAATAAGTTGGAAAACGGTCACCGGCATTTAGCAACTGTCAAAGCAAATTATAACTTGGACGATTTAGATGCCTTTAATCATCACTTAATTGTCCATTAACAGTTATGGCTTCCTGTTAGGGTGCGTTTTTGCATCGATCGGATTTATCGTTTTTACAGGAAATGCTAATCTTTACGTACAATTAAATAAATTTTAGATATTTAGATGTCTTGCTTTTTTTTCATTCTTCATATTTGTCACACAATTATAAAAAAAAAACAAACCCAAAAACAATTTTTAATTACTCAATAATTTTACCAATCACCGATTAGTTCGATGTAAGAATTTTACTGTCTTAAGTGATAAGCAGGGTCGTGACACCTAAGAAAAAATAGGGAAAGAGCGAATATAAAAAAAATAGGAGACGAAAAATTAGAAGAAGTGGCTGATTTTAGATACCTAGGAAGTCAGATAAGTCAGGATAGAAGGAGTAGTAAGGATATAAGGCAGAGGATAGCGCAGGGTCGTGTCGCCTTCAATAAAAAGAAGTCACTTCTATGCTCGCGAACGCTTAATTTATAAATTCGAAAAAGGTTGTTAAAGGTGTATGTTTGGAGCACGGCGTTGTAAGGGTACGAAACATGGACAGTGGGCGCGGCGGAAAAGAAAAGGTTAGAAGCGTTCGAAATGTGGTGTTATAGGCGGATGATGAGGATATCGTGGGTAGAAAATATTAGAAATGAAGAGGTATTAGAAAGAATAGGAGAACAGAAGACTCTATGGAAATCAATAAGAAATAGGCGAGATAGGTTGATAGGACACCTTCTCAGGCATGAAGGTCTAGTTCAGGGACATATTAGAGACAGAAAGGGAGTTAGGAGGGGTAGTTGTAGACCTAGATTAGATTATTGTTCGCTAATAGTTAAGGATGTGGGATGTTCTAGTTTTAGGGAAAAGCGAAGTTTAGCTCAGGATAGGAAAGAGTGGAGGTGCGTGTCCAACCAGTCTTAGGACTGACGACCATATGATGATGATGAAGTGATAAGCAAAAAGACCAAGGCTATAACTTAGATCAAGACTAGAAGCATTTGAGCAAGACCAAAGGTTAAGACTGAGGCCAAGACTAGAACCATTTGAACAAGACTAAGAACAAGACCAACTACAAGACTGGAATAGTCTGATCTTGGTCTTCTTTTGCTCATCACTACTGTCTTATAGTGCGAAATTTTGACTAATGATTTTTGGCATCCAGCATTGCAAAGGGCAGTAATTTAAACAGAAAAGGCAATCAAAACTTACATCTGCTGAATTCACCCAGCACACCAACGATAATATAGAGATTACAGTTGCATGTATTTGATTTGTATAGCTCATGTCCAAATCGACTCCAGAAATAGCATATTCTTGGCAAGCCATCGCCAAACAAACCACCGTCGCCGCTGTAGAACCAGCGGGGACTTCGACAATGAGAATGCATATTGATCTGTATACGTTTTCTAAATTCAATCTAAAGAAAAATGCTTCAAAACTATTGAATCTTGCGAAAGAGCAAAATCTCTCAGGCAAAACCAAGGCTTAATATACATAAGATCAAGCCTTATTTAGAATCGAAATGAAGACTTGATAGGTAAGAATATGGTTCGATATGCAATACAGAGGCTGGACACACAAAATTAAGCCTTATTGTACACTTGTAAAGTCCTAGTAAACAGAACAGTACTTGAAAATCAAACTTAAGGTTTTAAAGGCGATAAAAAGTTTCGACAGTAGTAACTAAGGCTCATGTGGGATGCAATGTACTAGATAGTAAGACCAAGGTTGGAAAATCAATAGAAACGAGTGACAAATAAGACCGATAGGCATGACAAGCATATTGTAAAGATGAAATCATTTTGTAACAAAGATGAAATCCTAAGAATGGTAAATAAGACTACGCCTGGACACGCAGGACACCAATGTTTGGCACCTAGTAAAATGTTGACGTGGATTTGGAAAACAAGATCAAAATGCTTAAAAGACAGTCCAATAATTAGTCGAACAAAGTCAAAAGTCCGGCCAGATAAGTATATTTTTGTAAACCATTACAAAGCCTGATAAGCCACAACATCAGGCGTGAACGAAATCAAGTTTTATAAAACGTTTTAAAGGCTTAAACCACAAACAAGCCCATGCCTTGACAGGCGACATAAAGACTCACAACTCACAAAAATCTAGTGAACAACACCAAGTGTCACAAAAGGTCGACAAACTAGGCTTAGGCTTGTCAGGCAATGTAAAAAGAGGACGAAATACAAGAAAGGTTGATATATGAAGTCCATGACGTTTGAAAATCAAACTCTAGACAGTAAGGGTAATAAAATGATTCGACGGTAAAAGTTGAAGCTCGATATGTGACGTAATTACATGATAGACAGGACCAAGGCTTGAAAATCAATAGAAATGATTGGAAAATAAGACTGAGGTTTAACAGATACAACCAGGGCAACATAAGGGTGAGATCACTACGTAGCATGGGTTAACAGAGCGGGAAATTAGTTTAAGTCAAACGGGGCTAAGTTCTAATTAAACGTTAACATGGAAAACAAGATCGAAGGGCTTAAAAAGGACTACAGCGACTTGAAAAACCAGGCCAAGACCTGCCAGAAATGATACAATGCATTTGGTAAACTATTACAAGGCCTGATAAACGACAACCTCAGGCGGTAAACAAGGCCATGTTTTATAGATCGTTTCAAAGACTTGATAAAGAAGCCCAAGGTTTGACAGGCAGTACGAAGACTCTACAGTCACAACTACTACTCAATGCACGCTGCAAAAGTCTCGTAAACAGCACCAAACGACACAAGAAGTTTACAAACTGGGCTAAGCCTTAACAGGCATTGTTAAGAGAGACCGAAATACAAGAAACCTTGACATACGATATCGATATTAAAAATTTATGTTTTAATGGTAATAAAAATATTCGACAGTAAGAGCTGATGCTAAGTATGTAATTTAATTGACTGATGGACAAGACCAAAGCTTGAAAATCGATAGAAAGGATTGACAAATAAGACTGAGGTTTAACAGATACTATCAGGATTTGATAAGGGTGAAATCATTACGTAGCGTGGGTTAACAGAGTGGTTAATTATATCAAGTCTGGACATGCAGACGGGACTAAGTCCTAATCAAATATTGACATGAAAAACAAGATCAAAAGGCTTAAAAAGGAGTACAAGGACTTTAAAAACGAGACTAAGACCTGCCAGAAAATAATAGTACCTGATACAAATGCTTTTGGGAAACTATTACAAGGCCTGATAAGCGACAACCTCAGGCGGTAAACAAGACCATCTTTGTTAGATCGTTTCAAAGACTTCATAAACAAGCCCAAGATTTGACAGGCAGTACAAAGACTCTACAGTCACAACTACTACTCAATGCACGCTGTAAAAGTCTCATAAACAAGACTAAATGACACAAGAAGTTTACAAACTGGGCTAAGCCTTGACAGGCATTGTTAAGAGAGACCGAAATACACGAAACCTTGACATACGAAATCGATATTAAAAATTTATGTTTTAATGGTAATAAAAATATTCGACAGTAAGAGCTGATGCTAAGTATGTAATTTAATTGACTGATGGACAAGACCAAAGCTTGAAAATCGATAGAAAGGATTGACAAATAAGACTGAGGTTTAACAGATACTATCAGGATTTGATAAGGGTGAAATCATTACGTAGCGTGGGTTAACAGAGTGGTTAATTATATCAAGTCTGGACATGCAGACGGGACTAAGTCCTAATCAAATATTGACATGAAAAACAAGATCAAAAGGCTTAAAAAGGAGTACAAGGACTTTAAAAACGAGACTAAGACCTGCCAGAAAATAATAGTACCTGATACAAATGCTTTTGGGAAACTATTACAAGGCCTGATAAGCGACAACCTCAGGCGGTAAACAAGACCATCTTTGTTAGATCGTTTCAAAGACTTCATAAACAAGCCCAAGATTTGACAGGCAGTACAAAGACTCTACAGTCACAACTACTACTCAATGCACGCTGTAAAAGTCTCATAAACAAGACTAAATGACACAAGAAGTTTACAAACTGGGCTAAGCCTTGACAGGCATTGTTAAGAGAGACCGAAATACACGAAACCTTGACATACGAAATCGATATTAAAAATTTATGTTTTAATGGTAATAAAAATATTCGACAGTAGGAGCTGATGCTAAGTATGTAATATAATTGACTGATAGACAAGACTAGGGCTTGAAATTCGATAGAAATGATTGACAAATAAGACTGAGGTTTGACAGAGATGACCAGGATTTGATAATGAAGAAGTACAGGTTAACAGACAAAACTTAAGAGTGCTAAGCAAGACCAAATCTGAGTACGCAGACGGTACTAAGATTTGGCACACCGAATCAAATGTTGACATGGAAAATAAGACCAAAGGGCTTAAAAAGAAGTACAAAGACTTGATAATGGAGACACGAGACCAAGGTCTGCCAAAAAAGAACAGCATCAGGTGGTCAATGATACGAAGCCTTACAAGACGTTTCAAAGATTTGACAACCAATCCCATGACTTGACAGACGGTACCATGATTTGACCAAAGCAACTAAACCTTGATAAAAAAATGTGGGAATTGAAAAGCAATATTAAAATAGAACAACCAATACAATGAAGGTTTGACTAACAAAATGAAAACTAGGCAAACCATCACAAAGATTAATGAAAAAGAGCACAAATTGACAAATAATATCAAGTCCTAATAGACAGCACAAATCCTTAAGGCTTGAAATTCGTATGTGGGACTTGATAAGGTGCCAAACGAATTCAAATTTTGGATTAAGTTAAATGTGAAGCTTAAGGAAGAACATCGAAGGACTAGTTATGAAACAATATCAACATTTACCTGTACGAGCCATGATTTTTAACAGCTCTCATGAAAGTATCGTGAATTGTCTCTCTAAACCTCCTAATAAAATACGCGTCACAGGATTTGCATTCTTTTACTTCGATGTCGTACTTAATATCCCTAAAGAATATCCTGTAAAACAACATAAATTAATTGATAAATATTACATCGACTACGCCTAAAATATTGTTCGTTTACTTTGGAGTATCAAAGTAACTCCTGTTTTTGCCTCTGTCCATCAAACATTGGAAAATTCGATTTCCTAAAAGACTGTAAGATCTGGTTTCCGACGCGATCAACTTAAAAACCAACAGCAGTACATCCTCGACCAGGGTTTCGTAATAAAAGGTAATTGAATGAGCTTTAGCAGCGTGTTCAATTAAATTACCGAATTCCAGAACTAATTCGTGACGAAGATTGTTCGCCATCAGCCATTTTATCAGTTCGCTTAGCTAAAACAAAACGAAATATCGAAAGTATTACTTGAAATCACATAAGATCGAAACGCTAATTGCTTTCGATAAATTACTAATTAAAAACTTAATCCGTTTTTAAATTAAATAAAAAGTACCTACACTAGAATTTGGTTATAACAGGCATCGGTTACAACGACAACTCTGATGTAACGTCAGCTTTTAATAGTATCGCCAGTTCACTATTCAAACCAACGCTGAAAATATCGGTAAACTTCCGTCAATAAAGACACTCCGTTATTACATCAGAATATCGCATAGAGTGATGTTACGTTATAACCGAGTTCTACCGTATTTCTCATTTATTACTTCATTGATTTCATTATTTATTATCATCATCATCATCATAAGGCCGTCAGTCCTAAGACTGGTTGGACACGTACCTCTACTCTTTCCTATCCTGAGCTAAACTTCGCATTTCCCTAAAACTAGAACATCCTACATCCTTAACTATTTGCGAACAGTAATCTAATCTAGGTCTACATCTACCCCTCCTAACTCCTGTTTCTGCCTCTAATATGTCTCTGACTAGACCTACATGCCTAAAAAGGAGTCCTACCAACCTATCTCGCCTATTTTTTATTGACTTCCATAGAGTCCTCTGTTCTCCTACTCTTTCCAATACCTCTTCATTTCTAACCTTTTCTACCCACGAAATCCTCATCATCCGCCTATAACATCACATTTCGAACGCTTTTAACCTTTTCTTTTCCGCCGCGCCCACTGTCCATGTTTCGCACCCGTACAACGCCGTGCTCCAAACATACACCTTTAACAATCTTTTTCGAATTTCTAAATTAACCGTTCGCGAGCATAGAAGTGACTTCTTTTTATTAAAGGCGACACGACCCTGCGCTATCCTCTGCTTTATATCCCTACAACTCCTTCCAGCCTGACTTTCTAGGTATCTAAAATCAGCCACTTCTAATTTTTCGTCTCCCTATCTTTATATTCGCTCTTTCCCTATTTTTTCTTCCCTTGCAAACCAGTATTTTAGTTTTACTTTTATTTATTTTCATACACAGTACTGATCTGTCAGTGCCGCTTCCATTTTATCTAAAGCTATCTCTAACTCCTCCTAGATGCTAATGCTGCTATATCATCTGCAAATCTAAGCATACTAATCTTTTGCCCTTGCACATCTATCCCTACAGTTGTACTGTCTTTAATGATGAATTATTTATTAATGTTTTTTTTTTCGTAGAGATAATTGTAGTAGTCTCAAGTTGATCTTTCTCACTCTCTCTCCCTCTCTTTGGAGAAGTAATAAAAGTTCTTATCGTAGAAACAAATGGATGGTAGACAAGTGGCTGTAATTCTTTCACAATTTGACCATGACCTGGTGACTACTGACGTTGTGATTTAGGTGTTTTATATCCGGTGCCTCTTTACTATTTTTATACTTTCCAGACACTTATTCAAATGTGCACTTACATCTTCTAAATTGGTAACACCACATACGACACAGAGCCGACCTTAGCGTTCATGGCAGCCCTGGGTGATTTTTAGTTACCCTGATCTTACAAAGTACGTACTCATTTGCTTCACAATGAAATAGTAATTAACAAAACTGATCTTGATCTTGCAGTCTTGATCTTGGGAAAATGCAAGATCAATACCAAGACGGTCTTTATACTAGCAAGATTAAGACTAGAACTATTCGAACAAGACCAAGATCAAGATCGAATACCAAGATTTGTATGAGCTTTGCTCATCATTACAATGTAAGCGTTTAGAACTGATAAAAATACCTTGGAAATAGTTACGTCTTACAGGTAGGGGAGACCGGGGATAGTTGACTATAGGGGTAGGTAGCCTAAATACCGAAAACTCTTCGACAGTGTATGTCATCTGATCATAACCAAGCATTTCATTTCGCGTCCCGCTCAGTTGTCTGAAGCGTCACATCGCGGTCGTGCGTTGTTTTCGAACACTGACATGTTTTTCATATTTCAATCACATAAGTAATATTTTGATATATTGTATTTTTTGATCTGATGCCTACTCGTTTTATGTAAATCATTTTTCTATTAGTCCTAGCGTTTAATGAGGGCACATTTATCATATTTCATATCTTATTTTTCAAGTCAACGGCAGTGTTTAGGCTAGCCATGCGATCAAAATTAAAAATGGCGTCTGGGGTTGGTAGACCAATTTTTTTCGGGGCTGGTTGAATAATTATTCAACCAACCCCAATGAAATATGTAGTTGAAAACACCACATAAATTAACTTTTTATTGGACTTTTAAATCGTTACGTGGCCAAATTAAAAGAAAAATTAGAACAGAATCCGAAATTGACGAGAGCAGAATTAACCCTGGACACAGTGGAATATATAAAAAATTGACAAATTTTTACTAATCTAGAAGAGGAAACTTTAGCCAGTTTATTTTTTAACAAAAGGTTTAATTATTTGCTCCTTCTCATGATTTGACTCTTACTGGTACATGAGTCAACTTACCCCGGGTATATGGTCTACCTACCCCGGGCCAGGGGTAGATTGACTAAGATTTAATATTTTATAAAATGCATTAAATCATCACTATTATACTAAACTAAGAACTAAACATTACATATTTTTATTAGGTTAATAGATTTTCTATCAATTTACATGCTTTTCTTGTCTATATACATTAAAACAAAAAAAATATGAACTATTCAGTAAAAAACTAGTCAACCATCCCCGGTCTCCCCTAACTATCACCCCCATATTTCCCGTACGTACAATCTTTTATAATCCCCCGCACCGTCACTGATCCCTACTTACTATTTTCATATGTTCAGTGCTGCTAATTCGTTCCAAAACGACTTTCACGAACGATTCCAGGCATTCTTTCATTGGTGCATACAAATAATTTTCTTCGTTTTCTGGATTGAGACTGATGAGATAAATGTTCAGAATTCTTTCTATGAGATCGTCACTTAACTCTAGCCATATATGGTTTTTTATTGTGTACGTCAGTGTTGATAAGATTTGATCAGCATAAACAACTGCATTTGGTAATAACGACAAGCAATTGTCTAAAATATAAACATTTATTGTTAGGGGTTTCCCATCAGTTATAGGACGAAAGAGAATCCAGCCGGGATTACATGGGGATGTAGCGTATTTTTTTTTAAATTAGAATTATCATTAGAAGTTAATAAACATTTTTTAAATTGAACCCATGGGCGCCCGCAGAGTTTTTTTTTCAGGGGGCAGGGAAAAATTAAACGGGTAATATTTTGTTGCAGAATTTGTACCTAATATTATTTGAAGACCCTTCTCATATTGTTCGCTGGTATCGAAAAGGCTTTTCAGAGTCTCGGATGTAATATATTCATCATACCATACTTGACCTTCGGTAAGAAATGTCAACGCTGATTCTATAACAATGTGACGATGCATTTCTAAAAATTGTAAAACTTTTTCAAAAATCGTGGTCGCCCTTTTTGCTTGTCTCCTAAAATTGCCTTTGTTTTCTCACTTGGTTGCTTTAAATATTGGTATTCCAAAAATATTTTACGAAAAGTACATCATCAGATTCTTCGTAAAATTCTAAGACATTCTTTCCTTTGCGGTTTTTCTCTCTGACGTAGAATTACCAAATAATTAGAGATTGAAAGTTATAATTATCAACCCATCAGAGGAGGCTTTCCTCGCTGCAAGTAGAAGTAGTTAGCAGATGTTTCAATCGTTGGCCATGATTCGCCTGTTTCTCCATGCAACAAATCTAACGCACTCTGATTGGCTGATTGTTATCTCAATCTTTATTTGTTAATTACTAACTTATTATACACCGGATTGGAAAAATTAAAAGGAAAAAATGTCTTAAAATTTTCCATAGTATTTAATGATGCCTATAACTTTTCTGTAGCATCACAGAAATAGTTTTTATTTGGAAAAATCGACATAAATGCAAAGTACCTTCTGATCCATGGTGTGATTCCGCGTTTAAAAGAGGACCTAATATAAAAATGATGAAGACAACTCACGGCACACCAAACAAGAGGTTTAATGTGTTGAATTGTCAAATCGTTAACACGAGCCCTTTGCAAAAATTCTTGTATCAATTCCAAACCTGTAAAAATTCATTTCTGTCTTTTTGCTTACAACAATTGCAATTAGAAAAGGTTTTACTTTGATATTTACCAAAAATAGAGAAAGTCATCGTATGTGGGTGGTAATGTTTAAGTTTATCAAGGTTTGTGTGTATCACTCACCAGTAAATTGTTAACAAAATGGTTGGAAATTTCACTTTTAGATTAATTAAAAATTGTGGAAAAAGATTAGACAGAAAGATTAAAATAGGTGCTACGGTTATTAAAATGCTATCGGACTTTATTATTAAGAAGTTTAGAAGATATAAGCGAATCATCTAATAACAACTTTTTAATTAAAATACTGTATTCGACGTAAACAATTGCAAAAACGTGAGCGGGTTTAAATGTCAATACTCGGGTGTATGGTTGATTGCATACATGACATGTTATAACCATAGAAGTTAATGTTGGACGTGTACAATTTGTTGCATATATGTGCATAGGTTTTAATGGTATTATAGAAATATACCTCAATAATTTTTTTCTTTTTTTTTTTACCTTGTAAACGAAGTAAATGAAGTCTGTAAGCATCCCTCACATGCGAGAGACAAAGCCTTTGTAATCTCTGCAAACGTAACTCCATCTCTCCCGAAGTATATTTGGGGGGATTTTTACACACAAGACATAACAACCTTTTCGATTTTTTCAACTTTAATTTGCCTATATCCTTTTGTATTAGAACACTGGATGTACTGAAAACTTACAACACATATTCATAAAAAGTCTACGAAAGGTATTTTTGAAATGTTAACACGAAATATATCTTCAGAAAAGTGTATACAACCTTGTGGTAGGGAAAATATTCGGTTCAATTTCTTATTAAAAATATATGCCATTTTTGTCAAATCAATTAACAAAAATTCCCGATCTAAAAAAGCGCTCGTGCATTTTCGAGCCCAAAAAAATATTTTCGGTTCTTTAATACATAATATCTATGCAAAAAAAATTGTATAGAATCTCATGGTGCAAACAGATTTTCGATAAAGCATCATTAAAAAGAATTACACCACTTTCGTTAAACATATTCATAAAAATTCCTGTGTTAAAAGAACGCTCCTAACTTTTCGACTACTAGAAAAGTTATTTTTGAAATGTTTACACGATATATATCTTCAGAAAAGTGTGTAGAAACTTGTGGTATTGTATGATGTTCAATTTAATTTCTTATTGAAATAATTTGTGGTTTTTGTCAAATGAATTACCAAAAATTCGCTCGTACATTTTCGACAACACAAAAAACATTTTCATTTCTTTAATACGTGGTATGTATGCAAAAGAAGGTGTAGAATCTCATGGTGCAAACAGATTTTCGATCTGTTATCATTAAAAGGAAAATATTCATAAAAATTCCCGCGTTAAAAAAGCGCTCCTAGAATTTAGACTAGTAAATAAGGTATTTTTGAAATTTTAACACAAGATATCTTCAGAAAGATGTGTAGAACGTTGTGGTAGGGAAGATGTTCGGTTCAATTTATTATTAAAAATATATGCCATTTTTGTCAAATCAATTAACAAAAATTNTAAAAGTGTGTAGGACCTTGTTGTATTGGTTGATGTTCAGTTTAATTTCTTGTTGAAATAATTTGTGGATTTTGTCAAATGAATTACCAAAAGTTCCTGATCTAAAAAAGCGCTCGTACATTTTCGACCACACAAAAAACATTTTCATTTTTTTAATACGTGATATGCATGCAAAAAAAAGGTATAGAATCTCATGGAGCAAACAGATTTTCGATCTGGTATCATTAAAAGGAAAATATTCATAAAAATTCCCGCGCTGAAAAAACGCTCCTAGAATTTGGACTAGTAAATGAGGTATTTTTGAAATTTTAACACAAGATATATCTTCAGAAAGATGTGTAGAACGTTGTGATACATGCAGATGTTCGACTCAACTTCTTATTGAAAAAATATAGCGTTTTTGTCAAATTAATTAACAAAAATTTCCGATCTATAAAAGCGCTCGTTTATTATCGACCACAAAAAGAAATATTTTTGGTACTTAGTACACGGTATGTATCCAAAAAACTGTGTAGAATCTCGTGGTGTAAACAGATTTTCAGTAAAGCATCATTAAAAGGAATTAAACCACTTTCATGAAACATATTCACAATAATTCCTGTGCTAAAAGAACGCTCCTAAAATTTCGACTATTAGAAAAGTTATTTTTGAAATGTTAACACGAAATATATCTTCATAAAAGTGTGTAGGACCTTGTGGTATTGGTTGATGTTCAGTTTAATTTCTTGTTGAAATAATTTGTGGATTTTGTCAAATGAATTACCAAAAGTTCCTGATCTAAAAAAGCGCTCGTACATTTTCGACCACACAAAAAACATTTTCATTTTTTTAATACGTGATATGCATGCAAAAAAAAGGTATAGAATCTCATGGAGCAAACAGATTTTCGATCTGTTATCATTAAAAGGAAAATATTCATAAAAATTCCCGCGTTAAAAAAGCGCTCCTAGAATTTGGACTAGTAAATAAGGTATTTTTGAAATTTTAACACAAGATATATCTTCAGAAAGATGTGTAGAACGTTGTGATACATGCAGATGTTCGACTCAACTTCTTATTGAAAAAATATAGCGTTTTTGTCAAATTAATTAACAAAAATTTCCGATCTATAAAAGCGCTCGTTTNTCGACCACACAAAAAACATTTTCATTTTTTTAATACGTGATATGCATGCAAAAAAAAGGTATAGAATCTCATGGAGCAAACAGATTTTCGATCTGGTATCATTAAAAGGAAAATATTCATAAAAATTCCCGCGCTGAAAAAACGCTCCTAGAATTTGGACTAGTAAATGAGGTATTTTTGAAATTTTAACACAAGATATATCTTCAGAAAGATGTGTAGAACGTTGTGATACATGCAGATGTTCGACTCAACTTCTTATTGAAAAAATATAGCGTTTTTGTCAAATTAATTAACAAAAATTTCCGATCTATAAAAGCGCTCGTTTATTATCGACCACAAAAAGAAATATTTTTGGTACTTAGTACACGGTATGTATCCAAAAAACTGTGTAGAACCTCAAAGTGCAAGCAGATTTTCAATCTCGCATTTTTCCGATATTTTATAAGAAAAATAGAGCGTTTTTTTAAATTCATTTATAAAAATTCGTGATCTAAAAAAGCGTTCAAATGTTAACTCACTATCAATTGTAGACGTAACCGGGATTGATGGTCTTTTTTGTAATATTTTTGATTCAGAATCATCAGGTGGCAGCTCGCTTTGTAAAAAATGGGTCATTATGTTGCTCAAAATTATTACGTATTATCACTTCTAAAACCCCTTTTTTGTGGAGTTATATTTTTATTTGCTTTTTGACATACGTCTATCAACTTAATTCAGATGATTGTCTTATTAAAAATAATTTATTTTGCTTGGTTACTTGTTTTATTCTGAAATTTTATTTCATGGACGGTTTTCCGGTTGTTTTTTTTTATGTATTCAAGAAAAGCCTATTTAATGTTTAATAAACGGTAGATACATAAGTATATTGTAAAATAATAGGAAAATTCATTCTTGTAGCATTTTTTTTTGAAAAACTTGGTTGTCGCGTTATCTATATTCGGGTGAAGTAAACTACAGCTCATATAGATTATCAATGTTAATAAGGGAAATCTGTAACGTTAAGCTGACCAGAAGCTGACATAACTGATGTGGGTTTAAAAATGAAACTGGTAGATGAGATAATAAATGCGAATTTATAGGATTATTTATTGTTATTTTTTCTGTTAATATCGTTTATTCAAGTCTATGAGAAACAATTTTGAAAATCCTGCTTCTACTTTCAAATAGTACCCTGAACAAACTTTACTTCTTTACAAGTACATGCTAGTATAGTAAACACTAGATTGCTGTTAACCCTCGACTTTACCATTATTATTCATATATTCATTTTATGTAGGTCATTATATGTCTTCGTGCACAAGAACTGATAACAATATTTGCAAAAATATGCTGAAAAGTATAAAAAACAGGTATTTTTTTTAAAGAAAAGTCAATTTTCATAGCTTTCTCATACCCTTTAATAATATTGAACAAAAATCTTATAAACGTTTTAATTTTTGTATTTACAGCTAATTAATTTTTTTATATAATTACATACTAGCGAAGAAATACCACATCGCATTCAATTTTTAACATATCATCATTCTATCCTTCTTAAACAAAACTTGAATAATAACATAAAAGAGTAGATAAGACACAAGTATTTGACGAATTGTTTAGTACTTCTGTTGAATGTAACATTATTTGTTGATGACTATCTGGGTTTTCTTTACATATAAAAGTTTAAAAAAGTACTTTTACACATACCAAATCGACAACAAAACCTAAATTGAATCTTAAACGTATCTAAACATAATTTTTCAGGTGTAAAAACACACTAGTTAGTAAATTCACCACTATTAGAGTTATGATAACATCGTTTATGATTTTTTTCTGTAAATATGAGACTCACAAGAGAAGCGTCGCCTCCGGCAATCACAACAACTATATTTTATTAAAACACTTTGGCAAAGTCTTTTTTGCCAACATATCATATAGTATATTTGCTGAAGTACTTTTGTCAGTCTCGGGAGTCCCAGAAGATTGGAATTTATCACTGCTTTCTGCATTATTAGTATCAGAATGTTTTAGTATAGGATTATCTGATATTTTGGGAGATTGATCCCCTAACAAAGATGCTTTTGTAGGACCACTATCATTTTTAGGAGAAGATGAATGTTTTTCCTTTCTGCTATCCAATCCACTTGGTAATGATCCAGTTTTTAAACAAGTACTCTCTGGCGTTTCAAGGGATAACATCTTTGCACTTTGGGCAATTATATTGTTGGAAGATGAAGCAGTCTCTCTGTTGGTTGATGATAAATTTCTTTCAGCAGGTAATGACACAATTTCTATGTTGTTTTCTTCAACGTCTGCTAACTGCTTCAGCAAGTCATTATCATTTGCAGTGTCACTGTTTACTGTAGATGATGATGATTTACTTTTAGGTTCATTCAAAAAAGATGACACCTTAGTAGATTCTTGTTCTGACGAGTGGGGATTCCCTGAAACGTCTTTCTCTGGAGGCTTTTCTTGAATAATCTCTATGTGATTGAGTTGGGCATTTATAAGGTGTGTTATGTTCGTTGGTGCAGGTCTTTCATTACCAAGTATTATCATCATTATATCGTCTAGTTTTAGAGGTTTATTTATCTCCTTCACAGAGTCATCAACACTGTCTGTATCTGAACTAATATCCACAGTAAAATCATCTCTCTTGTCACTTTTATCGTAACCAATAATTACAGAACCCTTTGATGCTGAAACTTTGTTAGATTCTTCTTTAATGTTTTTGCTGTTATCATTTGTGCCTTGTTCATCGATCCCTGCAAGGACTTCATTGAACGATATTTTCTTATTCAGTTGTTCTTCGACCTCTGAATCATCGCTTACGACAATAATATCACTTGTCAAATTGACACAGGAGGAACTTTTTCGAAGTTCCTTTTTACTTTGTTCTGTGAACTTGTTCACCAGACACGGCGCAGTAGTGTTCTGATTATTGTCTTTCGCAATGTCGTTAGCTTTTAAAATAATATCGTTACTGAATATATTTGCTCCCTCAGTAATTTGATCTCGCTCTTCTTCCTCTATGAATAATGGATCTTCTTGCGGACTGGGAGGGGTTTGTTGTTTGCTTGGAGATAATTTTATAAACGGTTTTGTATTACTGTCTTCTCCGACTTCAACTTTAATTTCCTTTTCTAACGGTTCCTCCTTGATGGTAATGCCATCATCTTCAAATTCGATCTTCACCAGACACTTGCTTACTTCGGTAATATCTTCTTCACACGCATCCTGTGACTTATTTTTCTTGTTCCAAATGTCGTTTAACATATTTTCTAGATCATGACCCGCAGACTTTAACCTCCTTTCCGCTATGGCCCTCGTATTGTTTTTCTTCCTTTTACTGTTTCTCAATTTCTTCCTGCTTCTGCCCCTATTTTGGTTCCAGCTGTCGTCGGTATCTGTACTTGTCGAAGTCACTAAATCACTTTCCTTGAAATCTGAATCTGTAAATGTGTCATCGCTTTCTGATTCCTCAACATCATTCTCTGTTCTGAAACATAAACAAATAAAATTAATTACTGCATACTATTAGTTGAATCGTTAAAGCTTTTAAGTATTAACCATGGGAATTTATGATTATTTTTGATGTACAAAAATTTTAAAATCTCATGTAATAATAGTGAAAACTAAAAATATAATCAGAGCAAGTACCTCGTTGTTTGTATTACTCTTGGATTCACTTCTAGAATCTTTTTGGTAGCAGTCGATGTTGTTTGGAAAGCTGTATGATCAGTCCCTTGTAGCTTTGATCTGCCTCTACCGCGCCTTTTACCATTTGGAGATCTCGCAGTACTAGTTTCTTTATCGTTTTCGTCTCCATCAACAGGAATTTCAAATAATTGTGACTTTCCACCAAGTTTTCTTCCACGTCTGGCTACATTTCGCAACGATGGCGCTTGTCTCGGCGAATCGCTGGTACCTACAGCACATGACCATGTGCGTCCCCTTCTTGCCACGTTTCGAACCCCTTTTGTACTACCCATATGAGGGTTAGATATTTCATCCGTGAGATTATCGAAATCTGTTGACGTAATGAGGCTTTCTGTTGAAGAACGTCTACTCCATTCTGCTGAAGAGGAGTCTGTATCATCGTGTCGCCAAGCATAGGACCGACCTCTTGCTCTATGCCATCTGCCCAATCCTCTACGTCCTCTGTAACCACGGCCGCCACCCCTTGCGGCTACTCGACTGTCTCTTCTCAAACCGCTCTCTTTAATTCTGCAAAATATGTAAAAATTGTTCCATTGGTATGATGTTTTCATTTGTCGTTACAGAGGGGTAGATGTACACACGTGATATATTAAAAGTTGAGTATAAGTTGAAAAAAGCTTGACGTATTTTATAGACGTCATAAAGAAAAATGCGTATTGTATTTACCTAGTCATTTCATCGAGTAAATTTATCTTCTTTACAAAAACTCGTGGAGATGTTGTCAACTGGTTGAAAGCCAATTTGATTGGTAGTTCAAGCCTTTGAATCTAAAACAATATTTTCATATAAATATAAAGACAAAACAATTAAAGTATGGCAAATTAACTAACTTCTTTAATAATACTTTCGATTTGATCGTTTATATTTGTTGGAAGGACATGATCCTTATTCATATCATTTTTAATAGGTGATGATTGGACGTCCTTTTTCAGTCTTTGGAACAATACAATTTTCAAAACTATCGCTGCATGTTGAATAATCTCCAAATGGAAACTTGAAAGATTGCTTTTCTGTACCTGTATAATAGTAAAGCCTTTTTTACTAATTCCAAGTATAAAAAAGTAAATTAACTCTTACTATGTATTTATTATTTATAAATGTTGCCAAATCTTCTAAACTTATGTCAAAATCGATTGGAAATACGAACTTTAATAGAGAAAGCACTTCCAGAATATTGTTTTGGGGCGGTTTACTTAACAGAAGTAATTTTTGAGATGCCTAGAATTAATTAAATTAAGCACTAAAAATATGTACAAAAATTAGGCCGTATATGTGGAACGCACATAACGAAACCACTAACAACAACTTATGAAATGAATACACAAAAAAAAAACATTATCCCTTGGGCTAATACATCTGGGAAAGTACCAAATGTATCGGGATATACATCTATTCGCTTCTATAGCAGAAGGTTTAATTTTTTTAACGATATATGACGGTTTAGCCTAATAAATATGAAAGGTATCTGTTATGCAATTTCCACACTATAGCGAGTCTACTGTAATTTAAAAGTGCGATTTTCAAGAGATCCTTTTTTACCTTAATCTTCATCACATGCTCATTAAACACATTGTTAATGTCTTTAAGTGTTGGTGTATCATCAAAAATGACACAGTGTAATTGCATAATACGAAACATTTTAATTTCTTCTGGAGTGGAAATAAACGTTCCTTGTCTACAAATTTAGAGACTAAAACACATATTCTATACTAAAAATTTCAGCTTTTCTTACGTAGCAAGGATGACGTCATATTTTGATAATTCCCCCTTATACCATTCGTTTCTATACTGACGCCTCTCTTCTTTACTTCCATGATAAAAGAAGACTTTTAATTCTGGCGAAATTCTTCTAAAATCTGATCTCCAGTCGTCTGGTTTAAAAAAAAAAAAACAGAAAATAATTTAATTAAAAATAATTGACAATTATTTGCACATACCCATCGTTCAGAA